TCCCGTCAGCTCTGGACCAGATCCCACATCACGTGTCTCATCAGCAGTCCGGCTCGCTTGAAGCCAATGCTGACGAACTCCCACGTGTTCTTGGTTATTTCGGTAAAGTCACGTAGAAGGAAAATAATAAAATAAGAAAAAATAAAACATAAAGAAATAATTATTTTATTTATAAATTTTATTATTTTATTATTTCCCTTCTACGTGACTTTGCCGAAAGAACCAAGAAGATGAATCCCTGCAGTCACGAAAGCTTTAAATCGGAACTACCACGTGTTTATAAGCCAGCACTGGTTTTGATATTCAGGGCATCATCAGCAGTCCGGCTCGCTTGAAGCCAACGCCAGCACTGGTTTTGATATTCAGTGTCTCATCAGCAGTGATGCTCGCTTTACCTAATCCTGGCTGGCGTGTGTATCGGCAAGGACACGCTGTTTACCATTTGGGCAGGCGGCCATTTATCCTCGACACAATTATCAAACTCATGACAACAAAATTATCGCATTGGCACTTGATCGGTGTGGAGAGAACAAATCGTTCTTCACGGTCACGTCTTCTCGTCGTTGTTGTTGTTATTGTTGTTATTTTAGCCAACCGATGAGCGCTGTTTGGCGACATACGGTTGCGAAAGGAATTCAACATGCGTCAGTGCCGGATTAAGTGAAATGCGGGGCCTGTAGAATATTATGTAATCAAGGGGCACTACATTTAAAAAAAAAACACGTAAATATTAAAACACAGATTTTTTTTAGTCGCATTGTAAAGTAATTGTATTTTTTCATTTGCTATACAGCCAGATAATAGACAAATCGATAACCTTAAACACCCAGTCGTTCATAAAAGTTGAAGGCGGTATAGTGCTATAGTGATAGAGCAAGTGCAGAATCACTGAACCGGAATTGGTAGCTTGAAAGCATTTATCGCGGGGCCCTTGAAAGTGCGGGGCCCGTAGCTGCTACATATGTAGTAGCTACTACTACATGTGTAGTAGCTACTACGTATGATGTAGCTACTACACGTGTAGTAGCTACTACTACATGTGTAGTAGCTACTACGTATGATGTAGCTACTACACGTGTAGTAGCTACTACGTATGATGTAGCTACTACACGTGTAGTAGCTACTACATATGATGTAGCTACTACGTATGATGTAGCTACTACACGTGTAGTAGCTACTACATATGATGTAGCTACTACGTATGATGTAGTTACTACACGTGTAGTAGCTACTACGTATGATGTAACTACTACACGTGTAGTAGCTACTACATATGATGTAGCTACTACGTATGATGTAGCTACTACACGTGTAGTCATGGATTCGATCCAGATACGACACATGTAGTAGCTACTGCACATGTAGTAGTGTAGTAGCTACTGTACATGTAGTAGCTACTACTGCACACGCAGTAGTAGCTACTACACATGTTTAATAGCTACTACGATAATCCAGCACTGACATTCGTACATTTTTACTCTGTAGGCCTCCGTTACGCCCTAGCAAGCGACGGGTGCCAGCAGACACGGCAAACTCAAATAAGACAATCATTATCTCTTAGGAATTTCCATTATCGAGTCTCAATTGATTCATTGTTTTTCTTCTCTCTCTCTCTTTGTCTCGTCTCCGCCTCTGTGCTTTTAATGACGAGTGCGCATTTTGGACAATTTGCTCGCGATAGCGAGGAAGGTCAGGAGGAGGGAACGATGTCTGGGTCACGAGAGATGTTAACTGCCTCGCCTGGTGTACAGGAGGGCGTGGGTTCGATCCCGACCCTGACGCCTGCTGTGTATTTGGAGTTTGCGTGTCTCTCTCTAATCATCATCATCACGGTGGCTAGGAGATGTTAACTACCTCGCCTGGTGTACAGGAGGTGGTGGGTTCGATCCCTACCCTGACGCCTGCTGCTGTATATTTGTAGTTTGCGGTGTCTCTCTCATCATCACTGTGGCTAGGAGATGTTAACTACCTCGCCTGGTCTACAGGAGGTGGTGGGTTCGATCCCTACCCTGACGCCTGCTGCTGTATATTTGTAGTTTGCGGTGTCTCTCTCATCACCACGGTGGCTAGGAGATGTTAACTACCTCGCCTGGTCTACAGGAGGTGGTGGGTTCGATCCCTACCCTGACGCCTGCTGCTGTATATTTGTAGTTTGCGGTGTCTCTCTCATCATCACGGTGGCTAGGAGATGTTAACTACCTCGCCTGGTCTCCAGGAGGTCATGGGTTCGATCCCGATAATAAACATCGTGAAGCCCGCGAACCAACTAGAGCCCGCGACTTTTTTTCCCGTGGCCTCTCTCGATACGGCTTCAGTCCAGAGGTCGCAAACGGGTTTTGATTCCTTACCCGTACCCGTACCTGGCCGCACCAGGGTCGCAAACGGGTACCCGTACCCAGCCGTACCCGTACCCTACCCGTACCCGACCGGGTACGGGTAGGGTACGGGTATCGGGTACCTGATTGCGACCTCTGGGATGAAGCCATGTTGCAGGCGCGGGTGGGTTGATTCTAGGAACTTGAATTGTGAGAAGAGACAAGACGTTGGGAAATGAGTGACAAACGGTTACTCACCAGTGACTCACGGCCTACCCGTACCCGTACCCGGATGCACCAGGGTCGCAAACTCTCCCACTCACTCACCCACCCACTAATTCACCCACTCACTCACCCACTCACCCACTCACTCCCCACTCACCCACTCACTCACCCACTCACCCACTCACGAACTCACTCACCCATTCACTCATCCACGCACTCACCCACTCACCCACGCACCCACGCACTCACCCACCAACCAGAGGTCGCGAACGGGTTTTGATTCCTTACCTGTACCCGTACCCGGCCGCACCAGGGTCGCAAACGGGTACCCGTACCTGGCCGGGTACGGGTAGCCGGGTATCGGGTAGGGTACGGGTATCGGGTACCCGGTTGCGACCTCTGCTTCAGTCCTTCTCGATACGGCCCAGCGGCCTCTTTCGATGACGCCCGTGACCTCTCTAGCCAACCCCCCTTCTGAAGCGTCGGCCGTGAAAGCGACAGCTGAACCGTCGCTTTCACCACGACCGCACTAATCGGGTATTAGAGGGGAGGTGTGGTGGTGGGGGGGAATTAAATAAAAACAATTTAAATCCGGTAAAACAAAATCCCGTTTCTAATTTTAGCGGGCCGGCCGTGGTAGTCTCGTATCCCTTGAGTGCAATGGTCGCTTGTTATATTGCTGGAGCGGTTAGTTTTCGTGTTTGTCTGATGTTGTTGTTGTTGGCGAACGCTGAGGAGCTGTCTGTGTGGTCATGTTTGTTTGGGGTCAGCCGAATCCCGCCCACCCGAGTTCGATTCTCGCTCACGGCCACCACCACCGCCAGTGACGATCGTCCGAACCGTTCCTGGGCCTCCCCTAGGTCGACTCAGCCTCAAATTAGTACCTGGTGTGTCGCAAACAAAGCCACTGGGAAGACAAAGGCGGCCGGGCGTGGTGCTGGCCGCCCAACCCCGAGTGAGCCGTGCCGGTCTTCATAGGGTGCAGCTCGCCAACAGCACTTGCCCCAACAGTCTGTTGTTGCTACACGGGGGACCTTTGTCTTTGTTTGGCCGCCCAAGCCAGGAGGGTCGATAGTTGCTGTTCGGCGCGCAGTTAGGCAACGCCTCCCCCCCTCCTCCCGTGTGCTGTAAACTTTCTAACTCTCCACTCCATCTCATCTCTCTCTCTCTCTGTACTGCCTCGGTCGCTCACCCCACCACCACCACCCCCTCACAACCCCCCCCCCCTCCTCCTCTTGTGCCGACCCTGACGCTCCCGTCTCACTCACTCATAAACCCTCTATCCCCCACCTCTTTTTTTTCTTTCTTTTTTACGATCAGAGGAAACAAGAAGATGCTCGGTGTAGTCGGCACTTTGCTTCGTTCATCATTTCGTTTTTTATTAATGCTTTGCTTTATGTAACCCCCCCCCCCACCCCCCTTTTTAAATGAAATATTTCACAATAGATTTCACTCTTTGCTCCTCTTACCCGTTGCCTCTCTCTCTCTACCCCCTCTCTCTACCCCCCCTCTCTCTCTCTACCCCCTCTCTCTCTCTCTACCCCATCTCTCTACCCCCCCCCTCTCTCTCTAACCCCCTCTCTCTCTCTACCCCCTCTCTCTAACCCCCCCTCTCTCTCTCTCTACCCCCTCTCTCTACCCCCCTCTCTCTCTACCCCCCCTCTCTCTCTCTACCCCCTCTCTCTCTCTCTACCCCCTCTCTCTACCCCCCTCTCTCTCTACCCCCCCCTCTCTCTCTACCCCCCTCTCTCTCTCTACCCCCTCTCTCTCTCTACCCCCTCTCTCTACCCCCTCTCTCTCTACCCCCCCTCTCTCTCTCTACCCCCTCTCTCTCTCTCTACCCCCTCTCTCTCTCTCTACCCTCTCTCTCTCTACCCCCCCCTCTCTCTAACCCCCCTCTCTCTCTCTACCCCCTCTCTCTACCCCCTCTCCCCCTACTACATGTCTATGTTCCCCCGGTGTTTTCTATGTAATATTTGTAATATTATGTTTTTTTTACATTATCTCTCCCCCCTCATTAACCCCCTTTCCCTATCATGTCGCTCCCCTCTCACTCATAAACCCTCCATTCCCCCCCCCCCCATCTCTCTCTCTCTAAAACCCCGTGTCATCTCTCTTTATCTCCATAAACTCTGTCACTCTCTGAAAACCAGGCCCCCCCCACCCTCTCTCTCTCTATCTCTCTCATACCTATCTCACTCGCCAGCCCTCGTTCTCTCTCTCACCCTCTGCGCTCTCTCAATCTCTCTCTCTGCTTGCTCTCTCACAGCCCCCCTACATCTCTCCTCTCTCCACGCTGCGGTCATCGCGATCGTCTCTTGCCCTGCGAATGCATCGTCGTCTTGCAAGTAGTCGCAGCGGAGGGCATCCGAGGATGCCCCTTCAATATCTGAAATAAGAATTTGTAAAAGTTCCCCCCCCCAAGAAAAATCTCATCCCTAGAAATGTCACGTGTTGGTGGATGGTCACGTGTTGATGGATGGTTGGGTGATGGTAGTGATGGATAGTAGGGTGATGGTGGTGGTGGATGGTAGGGTGATGGTGGTGGTGAATGGTAGGGTGATGATAGTGATGGTTGGTAGGGTGATGGTAGTGATGGATGGTAGGGTGATGGTGGTGGTGGATGGTAGGGTGATGGTGGTGGTGGATGGTAGGGTGATGATAGTGATGGTTGGTAGGGTGATGGTGGTGGTGGATGGTAGGGTGATGGTGGTGATGGTTGGTAGGGTGATGGTGGTGGTGGATGGTAGGGTGATGGTGGTGATGGTTGGTAGGGTGATGGTGGTGGTGGATGGTAGGGTGATGGTGGTGATGGTTGGTAGGGTGATGGTGGTGGTGGATGGTAGGGTGATGGTGGTGATGGATGGTAGGGTGATGGTGGTGATGGATAGTAGGGTGATGGTAGTGGTGGTTGGTAGGGTGATGGTAGTGATGGATGGTAGGGGGATGGTAGTGGTGGATGGTAGGGTGATGGTGGTGATGGTTGATAGGGTGATGGTGGTGATGGTTGGTAGGGTGATGGTGGTGATGGTTGGTAGGGTGATGGTAGTGATGGTTGTTTGGGTGATGGTAGTGATGGCTGGTAGGGTGATGTGTGTGTTAGTTTATGATGATGATGGGCAGAGCCTTCATCCAGTAGCAGATAGACAACACATCATCACCACGACTCCTCCATCCAGCAGTGGACAGAGCACGGGCCCACGTGTTCACACACCGCGCGTGTTGTTGTTGTTTTTGTTTGCGTGCTGCAGCTGAGGAAGCGTCGACCAACCCCAGCCACCCTCTTCCTTCTCAACGACCAGACATCCCCAGGTGAGAATCGATCCCACACATCACACATCCCCCCACCCCCCACCAGAGGTTGATTCGAGTCGACTCGACTCCATGAGCCAGCTGGGATGCTTCTCAAGTGATGTATAGGTCTAGATTGGAAGTTTTGTGACTGCAAGGATTCATACTCTTTGTTTTTTTTTCGGTAAAGTCACGTAGGTAAAAAATCAATAAGTGAAAAAACAACTCAATTAAATCCCGACGTTTCAGAGGCAACACAAGCTTCTCTCTCTCTCTCCCAGTGCAAGGAGGAATGTGGTTTAATCACAACTCAGTCTATGCGAGTCTATGGCTCTCTCTGTGTGTGTGGATCATTGGTGGCTTGGAAATGTTAACTCCCTCGCCTGGCATACAGGAGGTCGTGAGTTGGACCGCGACGGCTTTATATTTGGAGTTTCTCTCTCCCTCGTGGTCGCGTGGATTTTTCCTCCACATTTAGAATCAACGTGCGTTTAGAGTATTTGGCTTGCGATGAATGTCGAAATGATAAGCCAATTTTTGCGAGCTATAATTTGCGTGAGCCAGGTGGCTTCTGAATAAGAGTTACATTGCAGCTCAGCGTGGGCCTTGCCTGGTACAATAAAACATTGATTTGTCATGGCAGTGAGTGAGGCTGCCCTGGGTAATGCAGGACTTTTACAGCAGTCGTGCTGTGACGGTTCCACCTGAAGACGGAAGCTTGTGTTGCCTCCGAAACGTCGTGATTTTTATTTTATTTTTACTTTACTTTTATTTATTTTAATTTTTCACCTTCGTGACTTTACCGGAAAAAACCTAAGAATATGAATCCTTGCAGTCACGAAAGCTTCAAATCTAGAACTTTTACAATAATCCATGCCACGAGTTTCCTGGCTAGCTGATGGCTGGCCTGCTCTCCAACCGGATCAGTCAGAATCAGAAACCCTGACGCCTGCTGCTGTTTATATCTATATAAGGAACGAAGGAGGTGGACTTTTCCACAAATCTGTCTGTCGCCTGATGAAGCTGGTTGTAATTACTGGCGAAACGTCGTACTCGGATTGGAAATGTTGTGGCTTGGCTCTCCAACACACAACCGGTGGTGCTGTACTAGTATACTACACTATATACTACACACTAGTGCTGTACTAGTATACTACACTATATACTACACACTAGTGCTGTACTAGTGACGAATTGGCCACGTTCTGGCTACGTGACAAACCTTACTAGTTGGCTGTGTCGGGTGGTGGCGGGTTTAACGACACAGTTATATATTCACGCGATCTAACTAAAAAAACTTTATTATCTCCACCCATGGTCGTGTGATGACGACGATGACGACGATGACGACGATGACGATGATGACGACGACGACGATGATGACGACGATGATGACGATGATGATGACGATGATGACGACGTGATGACGACGACGATGATTATGACTACGACGACGATGATGACGATGATGACGATGATGATGACGACGATGATGACGACGATGATGACGACGACGACGATGATGATGACGATGATGACGACGATGATGACGATGACGACGATGATGACGACGATGATGACGACGACGATGATGACGACGATGACGACGATGACGACGACGATGACGACGATGATGACGACGATGATGACGATGATGACGACGACGACGACGACGATGACGACGACGACGATGATGACGACGATGACGATGACGACGACGACGACGATGATGACGATGTGCGTCACAACTGAGTGGCGGGGTGGGGGGCGCTCAGTATAAATGAATCATTGCCAGCTGCAGGGGCACTGGACCGGCTCTCGTTCTCCCTCGCTGCCGTCATAAAATCGCCGTAAAGAAAATAAAAGACACCCCCGCCCCCAACAGACCCAGCCACCACCACCACCACCACCAAATGAAAGGGTGGCCAAGAATGTGAGAGAAGAACTTGCACTAAATCTGAAAAAAACATTTTTGAAAGTTTATTATTCACAAGATGGGACGGAGGGATAGCTTCAGAGCAGCCTTGCATCACCATCTGGGTCTCAATCGAAATATTAGTTTTTTTTTATCATGTTAACATCAACAACAAAAAGGTTTGATGAAACAAAGTTGTACTCTGAAAGGTGCCCCGTGCTTAACTTGTCTTTTCGATGATTTACCTTCTAAAAAAAAATAAAGTTCCGGCCATGAATCTCGACTTAAAGCTTTCGTGACTGCAGGAATTCATATTCTTTGGTCTTTCGGTAAAGTCACGTAGATAAAATAATAAAATCATCCAAATAAAGTGAACTTATTTTAATGTTCTATCTGCGTGACTTTAACAAAGAATATGAATTCTGCCCATGTCTCACACACCCCAGAAAGGGCATCTCGCACCCCCAGAGACAAGAGAGAGAGGGGTCGTGCAAGAATTATGATGATTCGAGTAGCACAAGTAGCTACAGATGCTACGGGCCCCACACTTTCAAGGCCCGCGCTTTCAAGGGCCCCGCGCTAAACGCTTTCAAGCTATCAATTCCGGTTCAGTGATTCTGCACTCGCTCTATTACTATAGTACTATACCGCCTTCGACTTTTATGAACGTCTAGGTGTATATGGTTAGCGATTTGCCGTATCGTCTGGCTGTATAGCAAATGAAAAAAAGACAATTATTTTACTATGCAAGTTAAAAAAAACGTGTTTTAATATTCACGTTTTTTATTTATTTAGGACCCCTTTATAACATCATATTCTACAGGCCCCGCACTAATCCGGCGCTGCAGAATGGGGGGGGCGGTGGATGTGGTGTGCGTGCCACCCTGGTTAAGACAAAGCACTGTTGCGCTGGCGAGTTTCACGTCGATTGCAGCCCGAGCAGAGGGCTTGGGAACTCAGACGCGACGAGGACGGGTCACGTTTTGTAAGGACACCTCCACCCCGCTACGTCAGCCGGTGGGAGACGATGATTGCTTCGTCTGTATCGCTCAACCACCACCACCACCATCACCCCCACCACCCCCACCACCACCATCACCCCCACCACCATCACCCCCACCACCATCACCCCCGCCACCATCACCCCCACCACTACCACCACCATCACCCCCACCACCATCACCCCCACCACCATCACCCCCACCACTACCACCACCACCCCCACCACTACCCCCACCACTACCACTACCACCCCCACCACTACCACCACCACCCCCACCACCACCCCCACCACTACCACCACCACCACCCCCATCACCATCACCCCCACCACTACCACCACCACCACCCCCACCACCATCACCCCCACCACTACCCTCATTAGAGTAAAATTTGCGACCGCAATTTACGCGTTTGGCACATGTGGAATTGTCGACGCACGCTGCTGCCACACACAACGGCCCCACTCTTGCCGATTGACGTCAGACCTGTTTAAACGTCCTCTGTGAAGCAGGCGGCGAAGAGCGCAATTATGATAATTCGGTTGAACACTTAGTCGTGGTGGTGGTGGGAGGTGGTGGTGGTGGAGGCTTTCGCGACCAAGCTTATTGTGGGGTAAGATCGCGTCAATATAAATGCGTCGTTGAGCCCGACAGCCAACGCAGGAACCACGCGAATTCAGTAAGGTTCGGTGCCGGATGATCGTAGGAGCAAAAGTAGCTAAATCATATACATTTGTTGTAGCTACTACATGTGTAGTAGTAGCTACTACATGTGTAGTAGCTACTACATATGTAGTAGCAGCTACTACACGTGTAGTAGCTACTACTACACGTGTAGTAGCTACTACTACACGTGTAGTAGTAGCTACTACTACACGTGTAGTAGCTACTACTACATGTGTAGTAGCTACGGGCCCCGCACTTTCAAGGGCTCCGCGCTAAATGATTTCAAGCCATTATCTCCACCCATGGTCGTGTGATGACGACGACGATGATGATGACGACGACGATGACGAGGATGATGACGACGATGCTTTCAAGCTATTATCTCCGGTGCAGTGATTCTGCACTTGCTCTACTACTATAGTACTATACCGCCTTCGACTTTTATGAACGACTGGGTGTTTAATGTGAGCGATTTGTCGTACTGTCTGGCCGTATAGCAAATGAAAAAATGCAATTACTTTACTGTGCGAGTAAAACATGTGTGTGTTTAATATTTATGTATTTTTTATATTTGGGGCTCCTTTATAACATAATTTGCTATACAGGCCCCACACTTTGCTTCATCCGGCACTGGTCACGGTTTGTCGCGTAAACAACAAGACACGCCAAATAGTCAGTCGCACAGCGCTCGCCGGTGTGCTGGAGAGTCAACCCACCCGGCCACCAACACCGAACCGGTCCTGGGTCCCCCCCTAAGTCGACTCAGCCTCAAATGAGTACCCGGTGCATGCAGTGGTGTGTAAAAAAAACATCGCCCTCGGGGAGACAAAGGCGGTCGGGCGTAGTGCCGGCCACCCGCACCCTCACAGGTGCTGCTACTCGCTAACTGCACTTGCCCCGACGGCATGTTTAGGCTACCCGGGGGATCTTTGTTTTTGTTTTGGTGGCCGTGGAGGTGCAGGCGTTTACCTGTGTGGATTGGTGGGGGGTGAGGGGTGGGGGAAATGGTTCCGTGTCAAACTCACAGCGGGTGTCCTCCTGGTGCCACTCTCCCCCACAGATGATGACAGAGATGGGGAGCACGGAGAGGTGAGACTCACCCCCCACCCACCCACCCACCAACCACGACTCACCACCACACCCACCCACCCACCACCACCAACCCCCCACCCACCCACCAACCACGACTCACCACCACACCCACCCACCCACCACCACCAACCCCCCACCCACCCACCAACCACGACTCACCACCACACCCACCCACCCACCACCACCAACCCCCCACCCACCCACCAACCACGACTCACCACCACACCCACCCACCCACCACCACCAACCCCCCACCTACCCACCAACCACGACTCACCACCACACCCACCCACCCACCACCACCAACCCCCCACCCACCCACCCACCACGACTCACCACCACACCCACCCACCCACCACCACCAACCCCCCACCCACCCACCAACCACGACTCACCACCACACCCACCCACCCACCACCACCAACCCCCCACCCACCCACCAACCACGACTCACCACCACACCCACCCACCCACCACCACCCCCCCACCCACCCACCAACCACGACTCACCACCACACCCACCCACCCACCACCACCAACCCCCCACCCACCCACCAACCACGACTCACCACCACACCCACCCACCAACCACCCACCACCACCACCACACCCACCCACCAACCACCCACCACCACCAACCCCCCCCCCCCCCCACTAACCAACCACGACTCACCACCCCACCCACCCCCCACTCCCCCCACCCACCAACCACCACCACCAACCCCCCCCCACCAACCACCACCCCCCCTCCTCCTCCCCCAACCACGACCCCCCCCCCCACTACCCAGGCCTCACTCGCCTCTCTCTCCCGCTGGCACAACCGAGCCAGCCCAGCGCGGCTGCAGTTCGTTTTTTTTCCACCAGTGCTGAAACACCGTGCCGTGCCGTGCCACCAACGTCGCCGAGCGACGTCACACGCGGTGGCCGCGTCATTTGGCCCCACCCCTGGGCCCTGCTTGGCCCTCCCCCCGAAACAGATTCCGACGTTTCGCGCGATGACCCCGTATCACGGTTCTTTAAATTTAAACTTTGATTTATGTAAACCCCCACCTCTCGCTCACTCTCTCGCTCACTCTCTCGCTCACTCTCTCGCTCACTCTCTCGCTCACTCTCTCACTCCCGCTCTCGATCACTCTCTCGCTCCCTCTCTCGCTCACTCTCTCGCTCACTCTCTCGGTCACTCTCTCGGTCACTCTCTCGCTCACTCTCTCGCTCACTCTCTCGCTCTCTCTCTCACTCACTCTCTCGATCACTCTCTCGCTCCCTCTCTCGCTCACTCTCTCGCTCACTCTCTCGGTCACTCTCTCGGTCACTCTCTCGGTCACTCTCTCGCTCACTCTCTCGGTCACTCTCTCGCTCACTCTCTCGCTCACCTCTCTCGCTCACTCTCTCGCTCACTCTCTCGCTCTCTCTCTCGGTCACTCTCTCGCTCTCTCTCTCGGTCACTCTCTCGGTCACTCTCTCGCTCACTCTCTCGGTCACTCTCTCGCTCGCTCACTCTCTCGCTCACTCTCTCGGTCACTCTCTCGCTCACTCCCTCGCTCTCTCTCGTTCTGCACGCAACCCTTCTCGCAGTCCAACGGCCTCCGACGGGTAGCTCATAACTGCATGCAGAGCTCCCCGTCATCTGCCACCGAGCACATGGCCTCCTCCATCGCCCACTGCTCCTTGAAGGCCGGCACGGCGTGGGTCAGCCGCGCGTATCACGGTTTAGTTTCGGCCCGTAATGGAAAATAGCCGTGCCAGGTGTGTGCGGGACGGCCCCCACATATACCTGGCACGGCTCGCATGTGCCAGTGGAAAAAAAGAAAACGAGTGTGAGCTATGCATACATGTATGCTGAACTTCTTTTTGCACCGTACCTCACCAGCCGTGCAAATCGGAGGTGCGGGAAAATCTAGTTGTCGGGTTTGGATAGTCGCGACGTTTTTGTTTGCTGTTGTCGTGGTTGTTGTTGTTGTTGTTGTTGACCCAGCGTGTGTTCAACGTCGTTGATGTTTCAGGGAGCCGAGGGCCGACTTGGACATTCTCCCCGAAAGGGGGGCCACCACAGCTCCTACACGCCCCCCACCATGAGCCGTGAGACCCCCCCCAGCGTCCAATCACGAAGCAAAGGCAAAGATCCCCCGTGTAGCCTTTAACAGACTTTTGGGGGCAAGTGCCGTTCATGGAGGCCGGCACGGCACACGAGGGGGTGGGTGGCCAACACCACGCCCGGCCGCCTTTGTATCCCTAGTGGCGATGTTTACACACCGCACCGGGTACTCATTTGAGGCTGAGTCGACCTAGGGGATGCCCAAGCCCGGTTCAGGTAATCGTCTCCGTGGTTGTGCCGTGAGCGGGAATCGAACTCGGGTCGCCGGGTTCGTAGCGCAGCGCGCTAACCGCTACACCCACCGCTCCCCGCAAATCACACGCACGAAAACAATGACCCCCATGTGATAGGGGCTGCTTGCGAGCGCCTATTAAGGCCAGCTCAGCACACAAACGGGTGGTGTGGCGGACCCCCACCCCGGCCGCCTTTGTCTCCCCAATGCTGATGTTTAAGCATCGCCACCAGCTGAGTCGATGTTGGGAATGCCCCGGGTGAGCTCAGATAATCGTCGCAGATGTTGATCATGAGCGAGAATCCAACTTGGGTGACTGGTTTCGGAGCGCAAGTCGCTTGCCACGACCGCCAACACTCTATCCCATCATTTCTCATCCAATCCCATCCCTACCACATCATCTTATCCCATCCATCTCAAACCCATCCAGGCCATCTCATCTCCTGTCATCCCTTTCCGTGGACACCATCTCATCAATGTCATCCTACTCACACCATCTCATATCATTAATCTCATCCCATCGACAGCATTTCATCTCATGTCATCCATCTCATCCCATCCAATCTCATCTCATCCTTCTCCTGCCATCCATCTCATCTTATCCCATACATCTCATCCCATCCATCTCATCCCATTCATCTCATCCCATCCAGAGCATCTCATCTCATGTCATCCATCTCATCCAATCCACGCCATCTCATCTCCTGTCTCACATTGCCCCCACCTCTCTCCCCATCCCAGAGATGCAGACCCTGGTGGAGCTCCACCTCCACGCCACGGAGGAGGAGGACGAGGAGGACCTCGAGGACGACGATGACGACCGGAGCGCCGGCGGCGAAGACGACAACGGCGCCAGCGGCGGCGATGGCCATCCCGGCAGCCTCGTCCTCCACGTGCCCTCAGGTCCGCTCGCCCCCCACGGAGAAAAGGGGGGTGCCCGGGGGGGACTCCAAGGCGACGCAGGGGAGCCCACGCCCGGGACGACAGCCGAGCCGGAGGCCGGGAGCCCCCCAAGCGGCGGGGCCCAGGGAGGTAACGGACGCGAGTTTTTTTCGCGCTTCTCCACGTTTTCGACATTTGCAACTCTTTTCGCGTCATTTTATTTCACCGTCTGCCCGTCGCGGACGGTAAGCGACTAAGTAGAAATATAAACAAGGTGGGCTTCGCCTTGCGGGTGCTCCCCACACCTGCCGACGCTCACACGAGTAGTTTGAAACGTCAAGCACCAAGGTGCCACCATTGGAACCTCATTTGCCAGTAAAAATATGATAATTGGTTTTTTACCCTTCTATCTGGCAACAAAACTGACACCTTCATTTACAAGGAGTCATGTTTGTATAGACCACAATACCTGCAGTCATAATGCAAACAAAAAACATAACTCTGATAAGTGCACATTATCAGAGTTATGTTTTTTGATAAGTGCACATTATCAGAGTTATGTTTTTGTTTGCATTATGACTGCAGGTATTGTGGTCAATGCAAACATGTCTCCTCGTAAAAAAAAAAGGTGTCAGTTTTGTTGCCAGATAGAAGGGTAAAAAAACAATTTTCATATTTTTTACTGGCAAATGAGGTTCCAATGGTGTAAATGCTCACCCCGAGCTCTCACACTCTGACGGTGCATTGTCTTTGAGTTGTGCGCCTTTTGGCGTCATCTGGTCCAACCCATGTGAGACTAGGCTCTAAGGAAAGCTGTCTCGGGTGTGGACCAATCAACTTCAAGGACAGTGCATACATTATCAGAGTTATGTTTTTTGTTTGCATTATGACTGCAGGTATTGTGGTCTATGCAAACATGACTCCTTGTAAAAAAAGAAAAATGTCAGTTTTGTTGCCAGATAGAAGGGTAAAAAAACAATTATCACTAAGGTGTCGTTACGATTCCATTGATTTATTTCGATCTGTCCCCACCCCCTCGTGTGAAGATTCCGTAGGCGCCAGCGGGGGCGGCTTCGGGGAAGGGAAGGAGCCGGGGATTGCGGAGGAGGTCGCGAACGTGACCTTTGAACCCAGGAGAAGGGTCACGTGGGCCCACGGGCCGGGCGAGGCCGCTGGGGGCCCCCCTCACCTGGCCTCCCCCCCGATCCCCACAGGTAAACACCTGCACGGCCACCAGCACCATTACCCGCACCACCACCAGTAACATGACCATCAGCATCATTACCAGCACCGTCACCACCACCACCACCAGTAACATGAACACCATCACCACCAGCAGCACCGTCACCAGCACCGTCACCACCGCCACCACCACCAGTGACATGACCACCATCACCACCACCAGCAGCACCACCACCAGCATCGTCACCACCACCACCCCCAGTAACATGACCACCAGCATCACCACCAGCACCGTCACCACCATCACCACCACTATCACCACCACCAGCACCACCACCATCAGCACTATCACCACCACCATCACCACCACCACCACCAGCACCATCACCACCACCATCACCACCACCATCAGCACCACCACCAGCACCACCACCATCAGCACCACCACCAGCACCACCACCAGCACCACCACCTCCTACTACTACAACACGAGCACTACGGTCGACTTATTACCACGGCGCTCGCTGCATCAAGCGATAGTGACATCAACTCCCCTCCTCAATGGATGATGCTGCTGCTGCTGCCTGCACTCCACGTGTGCTCATGTACTTCATGCACTTTTCTGTTTCTCCTGACTGTGCTTTACCTTTTACCGATTTTGCACTGCTACGGTTGTTGTTGATTTCCCCTTTGCCTTATTACACCATTGGGTTTAGCACGTAGGAAGCTTACGCGAACAACATTATCCAAAATAAAAGGGTTTTTTTGTTTGTTGGGTTACGTCGCGTGAATGTGAACGTGTCGTTCGCCCACCACCACCCCGAACCCCAAAACAAACTTTAAAAAGCACCTTTATCAGAGACGAGCTTTACTACCCGGCTTCCCCCGGGACATAATTCACCACGCCCGACCGCCTTTGTCTCCCCAGTGGCGATGTTCACACACCACACCAGTTAATTGTTTGAGGCTTAGTGGACCTAGGGGAGGCCCAGGACCGGTTCAAATCATCGTCAGCGGTGGTGGCCGTGAGCTGGAATCGAACTCGGGTCGCCGGGTTCGTAGCGCAGCGCCGCTACCTGCTACACTACAACGTGTGACGCTTCCACGTGCGCGGGTCACGTGACAGATGTGACGTCACAGCTCACTTGCCGTGCAAAAAATATATGTATTATTGAAATCCCCACCCCAAAAAAAAACAAGTGTATTTTTATAATGTTTGTATGGTGTACAGTCTGGAAAGTACCCACATGGCAAATTTCCACTTTGTTGCATGTCGGGAAGTACGCTAAACATTTTGAACAGACACACATAGTCACAACTTTGCCTTTAAATTTCGATGTAAAGCTTTCGTGACTGCAGGGATTCATCTTCTTGGTTCTTTCGGTAAAGTCACGTAGAAGGGAAGTAATAAAATAATAAAAATAAAACATTAAATAATTATCATTTATTTTTATTTTATTTAATTATTTCCATTCTACGTGACTTTACCGAAAGAACCAAGAAGAACTTAGCCTTTTATATCGATGGAGATGACGTTGTTTGTTGGTGGCACTTGCTGAGACCGCCCCCTACGTGACATCTGTGAAAAGAGCTTCACAGCTCTTCGGATTCCTCCAGGACAAATACAGATTCTGCGTAGGCAGTGGTGCACAAGTGCACGCTGGCTAGATGTGAACTACCTCGCCTGGTCTACAGGAGGTCGTGGGTTTGATAACGACCCTGACGCCTGCTGTATATTTGGAGTTTGCGTGTCTCTCTCCGTGGTGAGATGTTAACTACCTCGCCTGGTATACAGGAAGTCGTGGGTTCGATCCCGACCTTGACGCCTGCTGTATGTTTGTAGTTTGCGTGTCTGTCTCTCCGTGGTGAGATGTTAGCTATCTCACCTGGTATACAGGAAGTCGTGGGTTTGATCCCGACCTTGACGCCTGCTGTATGTTTGTAGTTTGCGTGTCTGTCTCTCCGTGGTGAGATGTTAGCTATCTCACCTGGTATACAGGAAGTCGTGGGTTCGATCCCGACCTTGACGCCTGCTGTATGTTTGTAGTTTGCGTGTCTGTCTCTCCGTGGTGAGATGTTAGCTATCTCACCTGGTATACAGGAAGTCGTGGGTTCGATCCCGACCTTGACGCCTGCTGTATGTTTGTAGTTTGCGTGTCTGTCTCTCCGTGGTGAGATGTTAGCTATCTCACCTGGTATACAGGAAGTCGTGGGTTCGATCCCGACCTTGACGCCTGCTGTATGTTTGTAGTTTGCGTGTCTGTCTCTTCGTGGTGAGATGTTAACTACCTCGCCTGGTCTACAGGAGGTCGTGGGTTCGATCACGATCCTAACGCCTGCTGCTGTATATTTGGAGTTTGCGTGTCTCTCTCTCTCCGTGGTGAGATGTTAGCTACCTCGCCTGGTATGCAGGAGGTCGTGGGCTCGATGTCGACCCTGACGCCTGGAGTTTGCGTGTCTCTCTCTCTCCCCGTGGTCTCGTGGGTTTTTCTCTCCACACTTAGAATCAACATTACGCGTTTAGAGTCTTTGGCTGCTATACATTTCCACGTTACGATGATCCCACTTGGCTGAGCTATCATTTGTGATGGCCAGGTCCCTTCTGACAGCAAGCTACACGGCAGCTGAGTGTGCGCCTTACCAGTTAAAATAAACACTGTGTTTTTTGTTGAGAAATTCATTTTAGAGGTAGGCTCGTTTCGGTTATTTTTATAACACGCTTTTATTTAACTCACTCTGTCTGTTGTCGTATCTTCTTGGTTCTTTCGGTAAAGTCACGTAGAAGGGAAATTATAAAATAATAAAAAATGAAACATCACAAAATACAATTCTCACGACGTTTCGGCCACAACGCAAGCAGTCGTCCTCAGGTGAAGAACAGGTCTGTCGGAAAGACAGCGTCTGAATGAAACACCATAGCCTCATAAAATATTGTAACTACATTTTTACCCACTTCACAATGTCGTATCGACTGCAAACTTGGTATACTTATGTTATACTGGTGACAATACTATATTTTATCATAAAAAAAATCAATTTTAAACAATCTTTTTTTATATGTTATGTAATTGTCCACGCTCAACTGACGTTGTCTGTAATTGGCCACGGTCCCCTTTCGTTATGGCAAGCTTCGGGGCCACTTCCTGGAGTCGTGGACTTCTGCCATTACTTGTACGGTACATTTCATTAAAGCGTGTTTTTTTTTTTTACAATATTTTTAAATATTACTTTTTTTGTTTAAATAGTCGGCGCGTTTGCCGCGTACGAACCATCGTGGCGCGGCTGTAACTTGCTCGCTTAAAAAAAAAAAGCGAGACGCAGCAGCAGCAGCGGCGGCGTCAACAACAAACAACATCAAAATCGCGTAGCCGTGTCGAGTGTCAGGGTTTGTGCAACGTGTTCGTTCTGCTGCAATCCCGACGGGGGTAGCGACTCGGGGTTTGTGAGAGCGACCCATTCATTGCGCCCCCCCCCAACTCAGTGCTGAGGGTGTTCGTTAATTCAGGGGAATGCTCGTGGTGGGTGAGGGAGGGATGGAGGGAGGAGGGAGGGAGGAGGTCACGCCGTCGCTAATTGATTTTAATTTGGCCGTGGGTCGCGTGTAACGGAATATTGCAGGAAAGCGGATGAATCGCGCAGTGTGTGAGTGGTGCGGGCGGGCGGGAGGGCGGAAAGCTGCACCACCACCATCAACCAACCCACACCCGTCTGCATCATTCACCATCGACACCATGAACAACATCATCATCATCATCGCCCCATACTCAATCGCGCCAGTGTGACTGCGTCGGATTAAACCGGCGCAGGCTGCTGCTGCTGCTGTGTCAGCGGTAGGAGATGAGCCGTTCGCGCTGCGCTACGTACCCCGCTCACGGCCACCGACACCGCTGACGATTCTGTCTGATCCACACCTGGGCCTCCCCCTAGGTCGACTCGGCCTTAAATGAGTATAGCTGCTGCGGTGTGTAAACATCGTCGCTGGGGAGAGAAAGGCGGCCGGGCGTGGTGTTGGGCACCCACCCCCTCGTGTTACCGTGCCGGCCTTCATAGGTGCTGCTACTCGCTAACGGTACTTGACCCTACAGTCTCTTACAGGCTACACGGGGGATCTTTGTCTTTGTACGTGAGATAATGTGTGGGGGAGCGGTAGTGCAGTAGTTCGCGCGCTGCGCTAAGAACCCAGAGCCACCCGAGTTCGATTCCCGCTCACGGCCACAAACATCTAAGACGATTATCCGATCCGGTTCTGGGCCTCCCCTAGGTCGACTTAGCCTCAAGTGAGCACCTGGTGCGGTGTGTAAACATCGTCACTGGGGAGACAAAGGCGGTCGGACGTGGTTCTGGCCACCCCCACCTCGTGCGCCGTGCCGGCCTTCATAGATCCTGCTCGCTAACAGCACTTGCCCCTACAGTCTGTTACAGGCTACACGGGGGATCTTTGCCTTGTGTACGCGCGTGGTTGATAAGGGAGTGAGGAGGAGTCGAGGTTAGCAGTGAAGTTGATCTCTCTCGGCAGTAAACGCGAGTTCGATACGGATTCAGGAGATGGTGGTGGTGGTGGTTATATTCTTAGGTTTTTTCGGTGAAGTCACGTAGGTAAAAAAATTAAAATTAATAAAAGTAAAATAAAAATCACGACGTTTCGGAGGCAACACAAGCTTCCGTCTTCAGGTGGAACCGTCACAGCACGACTGCTGTATCAAGTAAATGAGAGATTACAGGAGATACCACTTTACTTGATACAGCTATCGTGCTGTGACAGTTCCACCTGAAGACGGAAGCTTGTGTTGCCTCCGAAACGTCGTGATTTTTATTTTATTTTACTTTTATTAACTTAAAATTTTTACCTACGTGACTTTACCGAAAAAAACCTAAGAATATGAATCCTTGCAGTCACGAAAGCTTCAAATCTAGGTGGTGGTGGTGGTGTTCATTGCAATGTGGATTGTGGGGGGAGCGGTGGTGTAGTGGTTAGCGCCCTGCGTCTACGAACCTGGCGACCCGGGTTCGATTCCCGATTCTCGCTCAGGGA